GATGCAACTTAGTAGAGAAAAAGACCTTTGTTATACCTATGATGAAAATTTTTCCCCAAGCCATAGGTGCCCCAACAAACAATATTTAATTCTCCATTTATAGGATGAGGATTGTGGAGAATGGTATCTGACCCTCTAGATATCGAGCATAGTACAAAATTGCATTTGTCACAAGAGCATCATTTATCTTATAATGCATTAAAATGAGCCTCAGATTTGGGTAAAATGAAGTTCCAAGGTTCTGACAATGGCATAATAGTACAAGTTTTATTAGACAGTGGCTCGAGTGATAATTTTTTACAACCAAGAATAGCTCATTCTTTGAAGTTGCCTATTGAGCCAAATCCAAATTTTCATGTTTTGGTGGGAAATGGTAATGCCTTAGTTGTTGAGGGGTTGGTCAAGGACTTAGAAGTCAGAATTCAGGGCCATTCATTGACCTTACCAATGTATTTATTACTTGTTACTAGGGTTGACTTAGTGTTGGGGGCTGCATGATTAGCTACGTACTCTTGATCCCCACATTTCAGATTATAGTAATCTTACATTGAAGTTTTACCTGGGAAACCAATTTGTCACCTTGCATGGTGAGCAACCAACCTTACCTGTGCAAGCTCAGTTCAATCATATGAAAAGAATGAATCACACACACGTCATAGTGAGCTATTCACACTGCAATTTCAACAGTCGAACTACCCTCAAGATTAGTGGGTAGATTTACCTACTGATATGGAACTGGAATCGATAGTGTTGTTGCATACTTATAGGGTGGTGTTTTCTGTACCTTTAGGATTGCCTCCTAGTAGGTCACAAAACCATTCTATTCCTCTAATACAAGGATCTAAACTTGTGAAAGTGAGGCCATACAGTTATCCACATAACCAGAAACAAAATATTGAGATTGTGGTACATCATATGTTAAAGTAGGGGATTATTGTCCCTAGCACTAGTCCTTTTTCCTCTCCAATAATTCTTGTCAAGAAGAAATATGGGACTTAGAGATTCTACATTGATTATAAGGCCTTGAATGCTATCACTATTAAGGATAGCTTCCCTATTCTGACTGTTGATGAACTAATTGATGAGCTACATGGGGCAAATTTGTTTTCTAAATTGGACCTGAGATCTAGGTACCACCAGATATTGGTTAATAAAGAGGACAGGTTCAAAACCGCATTTAGAACTCATCAAGGTCATTACAAGTGGACAGTGATGCCATTTGGTCTCACTAATGCGCCTACAACTATTCAAAGCTTGATGAATGAAATTTTCCAAGGCCTGTTGAGGAAATTTGTTCTTTTGTTTTGATGATATTTTAGTATACAAATCTTCATGATTTGCTCATTTACATCATCTTGAGGTCGTGTTGTAGAAATTACAGAAGCATAAACTATTTGCCAAATTGTCTAAATGTTCTTTTGGACTTCAGCAAGTATATTATTTAGGCCATAATGTTTCAGGCCTAGGTGTGGCAATAAACAAGAATAAGGTGCAAGCTGTTCTGGATTGGCCATGTCCAAAAAACTTGAAGCAATTGAGAGGATTTCTTGGCTTTACGATCTATTATAGAAGATTCATCAAGCAATATGCAATGGTGGCTGCTCTTCTCGCTAACCTATTGAAAAAGGACAATTTTAAGTGGGATGATTTTGCTCATGCTTCATTTGCAGCTTTGAAAATAGTAGTGACTCAGGCACCTATTTTAGCTTTACCCGATTTTTCTAAACCATTTGTTTTAGAAACGAATGCTTTAGGAATGGGAATAGGTGCAGTTCTCAATCAAGATCATCATCTTGTTACTTTTTTCTCTAAGAAATTGACTGCTTCAATGCAAAAACAATCTGCCTATACTAGAGAATTTTATGCTCACTACAAGAAAAATGCTAATTTCTGACGGAAAAGAGTAAATTTCCAACGGATTTCTGACGAATTTAAATGCGTCAGAAAAAGTGGCGTCAAAAAAAAAAATTCGTCGAAAATAATTTAATCAGTCGTAAAATTGTTGACAGATATTTCTGTTGGAAATTATAATTTTTTTTAATTTTAATAGATTTATTAATGTAATAGCTCTCATATTTAGCCTCTTAAGGGTTCTATTTCACGACATTTCACTTTTAAGTGTTTTATACTTACTTGCGCAATTTTTGGGTAACTTCCCAGAAGGACACCCATCCCTATACTACTCCAAGTCAAGCACGCTTAACTGTGAAGTTCTGATGAGTAAGCTACCGAAATGTATATGTATGTTGTCAGTATAACTCTTACAAATTAATTCATTTAAGTCATCCTCAAATATACAATCTCGTGCTTGTACTATAATAATAATATATAATAACTTTATATTACGAATAATAATAATAATATATTCAATTATTCTTTATTTATATGTACTTACTTTTATAATTAACATCTACTTATTTCTATTTAAAATTATAATTTAAATTATTTAATTTTATAATTTATAATGATAATATAATTTATAAAATTATAAATATTTATTTATTACATACTTATAAATTAAATTTTAACATTTTAAATAAATTATTAATTAATTTAATATATTTATTTACCTTAAATCAAACATATAAAATTCAAAAAATGTATTTATCCTTGTTTTATTTTCTAATTATCAACCATTAATAAAATACTAACTTAAAATCTTATCTAATTATATC